ACAAAATTCTTTTCTCACCACATTATGATTTTTTTTAAAAATCATATAGTACAGGTTTCTACCACTATCTAAAAGTAAAGCATTCCTTGCGAGCTCTCTTAGGCTTTTCTGAGACCTTAGGACACGTCTTGCTAACGGATGCACAAAGAAATGGAGACGAAGCCCAGATGCTCACAGACACAGTTCAGACAGAGCTCTGGGGCTTGATGCTGAGATGTGAGTGTGGTTCCCACGGAAGGAGCCCGGCGGGGCTGCTGTTGCCTCCGGGGGCTGCTGCCTCCATAACCGCTGCTGCCAAACACATGCTGAATGTGATTTTCACTTTTTTGCACAAGAGGATTTTCCTCTTTGGATTTCTTTCAATTAGAGAAAACAGGTACATTTAATATAGGTCTTTAGCAAAAGCGAAGTGGCTGGAATTTGAAATTTAGAAGAGTGGGAGACACATGTCTATCCCTTTCACCGTTCCTTGTATTAACCTCAAGCATTTTCTCACAAGTTACAGAGTCCAGGATAAAAGCTTGACATACTAAAAGGTATATCAGAAACTTTCCACTAAAATATACTTGGCATTTTATTATTGAAGACAACAGAATCGACCATTCAGCCTTGGGCTTTTCCCCAGTCACTGTGTAGGAGGCTTGAATTGCCAAGAAATGCTTACAAAACCAACCTTTAATTCCCTGTTGCCTGCGCTGATATCTTAATCTGCCCACATTCAACTTCCTCTCTCTTAGTCATCAAGAGGGGTGTCATACCTCACTGAGGAGCTCCCAAGAGAAGGGCTATACTGTGTTCCCATTAAAAAACAAAGGAGACTGAATATAGCATTCCCATAAAGTTGCCATTTGGGCTCTTGGTGATTTTATAGTACACTGTGAGGATTGTGTTACAATTCAGACCTCTTGATGATAAAAGTTCCTTGTTGATATTGGTGAACTGAAATAACTGAAATGCTACTTCAAGGACAGAAGATGGCGTGTGGAGCACAGGATAAGGACATCATAAAAATCCATGTATTTCTTCTTCAGTTTTTTATGGATTTGGCTTTTGTTTGTTGCTTCTACATGATTCAGTCCAGTGGGACATATGATAACCATCACCTGTTTGTGACAAGACATGGTCCTAGGCACTGAGGATGCAGGCAAATATAAAACCAAGTCCTTGCCCTCAAGAAGTTTAATATTCTACCAGATGATACAGAGCTACACAAGGTCAGGTAAGTGATGTGTGACATGGAAAAATAAAATAAATCAAATAAGGGAGTAGAGACTAACCAGGAGTACATTTTAGTTTGGGTGGCCAAGGAAGGTGTGTCTGAGGAGGGGCCACATCCAAAGAGATCTGAATGAAGCCTGTGGTTCTCCTGGAAAAAGAGTCCAGTGCAGTGGGAACAGCAAGACCCCAAGACGGGAGTGGATTTGGTGAAAATAATGGAGGCCCGTATAGAAATGGTGTAGGAAGCAAAGGAGAGAGGGAGAGAGTAGAAGGGAGAAAAGGGGGTCAAAAAACTAGCTGAGATCCCTGAGGGCCTTGTAGGTCATCATAAGGACTTTGGACACTGGGAAGTATTGAAAGGTTTTGAGCAGGTGAGTGACATGATTTGATTTGTATTTCAAAATGACATCTTTGAAATCTATAATTATCTCAAATTAAAACCTTTTTAAAAATTATGTCTCTGGCTGCTGGGTGGAGAATAGTAGACTATAGGGTATGTGGTTGGCTGACTCTGAGATGGCCTTCACTGATCCTCATATTCTGGTTTTCCCTCCCTTCTATAATGCCTGCCCTTGAGTGTGAACTCTACTTATTGACTCACTTACAATGTACGGAATATGACAGAAGAAATAGGATGTCACTTCTGAGATGAGGCAACAAAAAGACTATGGCTTTCATCTTGAACATTCACTCTTTCATTCTCTCTCTCTCTCTCCCTGTCCTTCTCTCTCTCTCTCACTCTCTTAGGTCACTTACTCTGGGGCAAGCCAGCTGCCATATTGTGAGCCACCTTATGGAGAGATCTGCATGATGTGACCCATAGTCCAAAGCCATGAGGAGCTGAAACCTGTGACAATCCTGTGAGTGATCTTAGAAGTACATCCTTCTGCTCCAGTCAAATCTTGAGATAACTGCAGCCCTGACTCACAGGTGGACCGCAACATAATGAGAGACTCTGAGCCAGCTAAGCTGCGCTTGGTTTTCTGACCCACAGAAATTGTGTGATAATATATGTTTGTTGTTTTTAAGTCATCATGTTTTGGAATAAATTGTTATACAGCAATAGACAACTAATATGGGGGAATAGGAGTAGAGGTAGAAAGGGCAGTTAAAAGCCACTGCAGTCATCAGGTGACAATGACTTAGAATTGGTTAGTAATGGTGGAAGTGGTGAGAAGCGGGCCTCAAAAGGGCAGGCAAAAGAGATAAGGAAAGCAACATGCTTTGTGACCAGGGGAAGTAAAGCATAAACTTATGGCCCTAATTTCCACTCAGTGGAGAATATCCATCAGGTCCCACAGTAGAACCGCATGGTTGCAGTGACAGATGGAGAAAATGGCTCTAGAAGGATTTTGTCACTAGCTCTTATGGAAAGGTGTGGGGACAAGAAGTCTGAGGACATGGCCTGACCTGAGCCTTGTCTACGACTGTGTGGCAGGGATTCAGAGCTGAATCTAGGAGCTGAGGTAGTAAAAGCGACAGAATCTGACATCAGCCTGAGTTTACAGAGTAAAAACCAATGGTGATAAGTCCAAAACACCTCTGTTTGGTTAAAGTAATCAGAGAACCTCTCCTGAAGAAATATGTCGGTCCAGGTGGCTAGGATTAAAAATGATTAAAAAATCATACTCTGAAGTGCTCCTCCAACCAGGATACATCACAAGGAACTGTAAATACAGGAACTCACCTGTACACAGAGACATGCAAGCACTGGCTCTGGGGGCAGTTTAACCTAGTGGTTAAGACTTGAGTTTTGATGGATCGGGAGAAGAAATTCTAACTCCTCTCTTGCTAACTGTGTGAATTCAGCCAACTTATTTAAATTCCTCAAGCTTCAGTTTTCTTAACTGCAAAATAAGGCTAATCAGGTACTTACTCTTAGTACCTTTAGTATAACACTGGGCGGTAGGAAGGACTTGATAAGATAGCATATGTGTTTTCCTTAGCACAGTACTTGGCATATAGTAAGTTCTCAATAAATGAGCCTTGAGCTGCCATGATGTGAACTGTCACCTGCCACTGCTGTTCTGCCTACCTGGAGGAACACACGTGGCAATTGAAGGAGGCAGTTCCCTTTATTGTAAAGCAAAGCCGCACTGCTGTGTCAGAGATTAAAAACAGTAAGATACGCACATCCCTGGACAGCTATTCATCTAGGAAAAGCTGTGATCAAAACCCCAATTTGTCCCATCAGCAAACACACCTGCTGGTCTCTTCAGACCTCTTCTCACTCTTGATAAGGGAGCTTTTAAAATGCCTTAAAGATAAGTCCTGCTGCTGAGTTGATGGAGACCCAAATGAGGACAGAGAAGATTCATTGGAAAAACGATACTCCACAGAATGTCACCTCTTCCAAGCCACCCCATTGCATGCTGTGTCACCATGTCTGCTTCTCTGGCATTCACCATCTGCTTTGTGACCTCCTGATATAGAAAAACAGTAAGGTCAAGATGTTCCTTCCTACCAAGGCACCTGCCAGGCACAGGCTAAGCTCAGGGTCTGTGTGACATGCCATAATTGTGACAGATGCTCCTGCTCAGATGGCACACCCCTGCCTGGGCATTTGGGGCCTTGTCAGTAAGAACAAATGCATGACAGTGAAGGTCAAAGCAGACTCAGTAGCTGATAGGTTCAGACACAAAAATCATCACACAGTAAAGCCATCAACATGACTCTACTGAAAAGGCGGTCACCTTCAGGAATGATAATATCACAAGCCAAGGCCACTGAGAATACACAGAACAATGTTAGTGACAAGCCAAACATGTACATACATATACAAGCATATAAAGACACATCATACGTTATCATGAAAAACTGAATATGAGTGTTTATAACAGGAAAGAACAACTAGAAAGAACAAAATGTTTGTTTTAGGTATACATCTAATCTCAATGTCCACTGTTTAGTCAAAGATATCTACCTGAGTCCAAGATGTCATCAGCTTGGTTCCTGTTCTAAAATGAAAGATTTCAGAAATCGAAATGTACTTGTAAATCTAAATGCTTTTCATTTAGGCTTATCATCAATCCATAAGCCTTCTGCTAACACCCACAAACAACTTAAATTTGGAAATAGAAGTATCAAAATGCATACAATTTGCAAATCTTCTTAATATTCTTCTCCACTGTGGCTCTCTGCCAGCATTTTGTCATTTCTAATCTATTGTGTCAGTTTGACATTTAAATCAAACAAGAACTAATGTTTGTGGCAGAGGAAAATAATCAGCACATCCATTCCTTAGCATCCTGCTCACACGTTCATTGTCAATTATAAATATTTGCTTGGGCTAAATTCTGCCACCATTATTGGAGCCATTACCGCCTGTAACAAAGTGATATATTTGAAGAGTGAAACTTCTGGCATTTTGCAGCTGGGACTCAAGAATAATCAAATGTTCATAAACTAACACTTGGGTCCCAGCAGAGTGTTTTGCTCAAGATAACAAGTGATTATCTTAGACAATGGAACTACCAGTCAAACCTCTGATTCATGAGTTTCACAATTATGTTTCTGGGCTATAGTCATCAGCTTTTGTTGAAAGCCTTTTCACTTGCTATTTTGGGGACATTTTTAGGGGACATTCAAGTACACAGTTGGCTTATATATTGGCAGATACTGGCGGATTCTTGGGGGAACTCCTTATCCTACTAAATGTAATGGCAGCTGTTGGTGCCCTGCCCAGATTCCATTTAAGGCTGGTGCACTTGACCCTCAGCTGTTGTGAATGGTGGCTGTTAATGATTCATAGCTGCCTCCTTCTCCAGAGAACTGCCATCGGCCAAACGAAAGCCATCTTGACCAGGAAGCTCTGTCTCCCTCATTCCTCCGCAGACCTCATTCAGTGACTTACCAACAGTGAGTATGAAGGCAAGTTGCTTCTCTCAAGGGAGGGACAGCCAGCTCTGTGGTGCAGTTCATGCTTTGCGGGTTCCCCGTGGGGCCAGGCTGAAGCTGACCTGCAGAAACCACATACTGGCCTAGTTTTCCTCCTTTGACCTGTCCTGGCTCTCTCACTCAGCTTCTACTGAGCAGACTCTGAAGAAAATCACTTGAAAAAAAAACCCCATCTTTCTCTGCTTCTAGGGCGCCGGATCTAAGATGCTAAGAACTTCTCTGCCTAGGGTGGGAATGTGCTGCTGCTAAGACCCAAGAACCCTAAGCCCCACCCCCTGAACTTCTTGCTATTTCCCAGATACTTGAAACAGGTGAGTCTTTTCGCTTGTGGTAATCTACAGGTCTTTCCCATAGACTGGGGTTACCCAGTCCAAGGAATGTGTCCCATCCACCCCTAGCACCTAGCACAGTCCTGACAGTACTCCTCACCTCAGCTCTGACCAACAAAATCCTTCTCAACGTTTCTTAAAAGTCAGTTAGAAAGAGATCCAAAACCCAATAGGAAAATCAGTAGGGTATATACAAAAACAGCCCACTGAAAAGCAACTAGAGACGTGAAAACATAAGAAATACTCATTTTCACTCATAATAAGTGAAATATGAATTAAAACTATACAGACATATCATTCTCAACCATTGGATTGGGAAAATCTGAAACATAATTTTTTATTCTATCCATATATCCTGACCAGTGATGGTGAGTTGTTAACAGGTTCCCCTGTCACACCTGAATTGTTAGTCCAAGAAATGCCACTGTGGGACTCTCCTGTTGGGAAATGAACCTGATAAAGCTCTATAAAACTCTTTAGGACTGAGTGAAAGGAAAGAGCAAACCTTAATTATTAACCTGAACATCTACCTTCTCAGGACAGTTACATATTCTGTTACATTCCTTCACCAAGTCCCAAAGAACATGCTGTTTTCCTCATTTCCTCTGTTTGTCCTACCCAGGCAAGAGTCTTTGATCTATTTCTCACTTTCACCTGAAATCTTTCTCTTTTCAAGACCATAAAATATCTTGGTAGCATAAGGTCCATGTCCTTCAGTTTGTCATATTTTTCCTACCCATTTTACCAAAGTGGGATTAAGTGGAGTACTACACATTTTCCTGTCATACGTGGCTGCTAATTAAGTGAATATATGTCTGTTTCCTCCACAGATATCTATATGGTTTATCGCATTATTTTTTTCCAAATATTTGCTTCCTCTCTCTGAAGAAGGATTATACTTCTTTGCACCAATAAATGTCAAATTTTGTCTTATAACTTGCATTGGTCAGTGAACTGTGAGCAGAAGCAACACAGGCCACTTTCAATCAGAAGCTTTAAGACCCATCATGTGGTTCCACCCACTTGTTCTTTCCTCTACTGCAAGATTAGCACATCCCAGAAATGGCTTATTCCTTTACCTGGGTCCTGGAATAAAGAAAACATAGAGCAGAGACATGAAGGACATAAAACATGTGTGAGAAATAAACTTTTGTGGTCTTAAGCCCCTGAGATTTGGGAGTCATTTGTTATTGCAGCATAACCTAATCCAGCTGTCTGCTAAGTCTATAAGCTCCGATGCATCTCATTTTCCTTGGTATTCCAACAGCACCTAGCATAATCCTTTGCCCATAGTACACATTCAATACAAATTAGCTAGATAGAATTTTTATCTTCCTCTTCTGTTTCCCTTCTCTTTCCTTTCTGAACAATTCAGTCCAAAAGCCACTATGAGGGTCCAAGGAAGGTAGTTGTTTGGTAAAGGTGTGAAGAGGAACAGTGGTGGCCCAGGGCCCAGTGTCAGAGCCAGAGCAGGTGAGGAGCCTGGATCAAACAAATAAATAAATTATGGATAATGGGAATCCAGGTTTTCACTGTCAGAGAAGTGAATTATAAATATGGAAAAGGAGAAAATTATATTGAACCCTGTTTTGTTGGATTGGAGCTAGCAAGGTGAACACATAGTTTTCAATATATGTATATAGATAAACAAATAAATATAATTGCAAACATGTGTGTATATGTAAATTAGCTAGCTCTGTCCCCTGAAGGAGCCTGGGGGAGTAGTAACTTTCCCATGGAAATGACCACACCTAAGCCCCTAGGTCTTCGTTTCCAAACACCATTCTCTGTTAAAGGAATCAGGGGAAAAGGTTCAGAAAATAGCTGATTCCAGAGCTCATACAGGGAAAGTAAACAATGAGCCTGGAACATCGTCTACCATAACTAAGGGAGTACTAAAAAAAAAAAAAAAAGATGGGCACATGTCAAAAGGAAACAGGCCATTATGAAGAGTCTTTCACTGGCTAAATCTGAGACAATTTGAGCATCAAAATAAATAATGAGAGTAACGAATTGAAACCCATGAAACAACATTGGAATCCAGTATATAAATATTTAGGTAGATAAAGAGAGAAATTGAAAGTTTGATGAAGAACAGGACATTTACATAATCTCAAAGTGCTATCCTCAGAATACACGTCAATTATTAAGGAAAACACAGTACATTTACATTGGAGAAGCCTGGCAAACATCATCCTAATCAAGTAATAATCGAAGCTGACATCAGCAGTCACAGAACAAAGTGAAATGCATGCACTGAAAGAGAGCAGTGAGCCACACAGCACCACATCCGTGACGTCCTTGCCTAAGAAACATAACCGGCTTCCTCTGCTCACAAGGAAGCTCAGACAACCCAAACTGAGGGATATGCTTGCTACAAAATGACTAATCTGTGATCTTCAAAATTCTCAAGGTCATGATAGTCAAGGGAAGACTTAAAAATTGTTCCAGATTAAAGGCAACTAGAGAGAGATGACATCTAATGTGGCCAGGGAGGCAGAAATTGGAGGGATGCGGCCCCAAATCAAGAAATGCCGGCAGCCACCAGAAGCTGCGAGAGACAAAGGCTGGATCGTCCCTTAAAGCGTCAGGAGGGAGCATGGACCTGCTAACACCATGATTTTAGAACTTAGTGAAACTGGTTTTGGATTTCTGGCCTCTAGAACCATGAGAGAAAAGATTTCTGTTGTTTTAAAATTTATGGTAATTTGTTACAGCAACCATTGGAAACTAATACAGAATCACTCCCTAACACTTTAAGTCACCACAGTGATGATGGCGGCTTACCAAGAATAGTTGGTGTCTCATCTGACCTACTCTCCGTTACCAGTGAATTAAAGCAAGTCAACATTTCCTATACCATCATGTTTGCAGATCCAAGGGAAGTCACAGATCTGATACACTGTTAAAGTGGCTTCATCTTCAAAACAAAGGTTAATAATAAAATACTTAATATTCCTAAAGAGGTCAATGTCCTTGTTACTAATTAAGGATTGTACTCACTTTTCATCCACAGCTAGAAAGGGTTTTACACACAGCTTTGTTAAATTTATTTCCCAGCAGTAGGATGCCAGAGGGACATCACTTGATCTAACAATTCAGCTGTGGCAGGAATATTAGTCAGGGTTCTCCAGAGAAACAGGAACCACAGGACTGTGTGTGTGTGTGTGTGTGTGTGTGTGTGTGTGTGTGTGTGTGTGTGTGTGTGTGTGTGTGTGTGTGTGTGTGTGTGTGTGTGTTTATGTGGAGAGAGACAGAGAGAGAGAGAGATTTATTTTAAGGATCGGCTCATATGGTTTGGAGGCTTGACAAGTCCAAAATCTGCAGGGTAGGACAGCAGGCTGGAGACTAAGGAGGAATTGCAGTTTGAGTGCAAAAACAGTCTGCTGGTAGAATCCTTTCTTGCTTGGGGAAAGTCAGTCTTTTTCTAGTAAGGCCTTCATTTGATTGAATGAGGCTCACCCGCCCTATGGAGGGTAATCTGCTTAATTTAAAGTCAGCTGATTTAAATGGTACTCTCACTAAAAACTTCACAGAAATATCTAGAATAATGAATGTCTGACCACATATCTGGGTACCATGGCCTAACCCTGTGGACACGTAAAATGAACCATCACACAAGTTAGAAAGAACCCACTGTGATGGAGCTGGGCATATGCATCAAACAAGAGCTCAACTTTTTGGATTCAAGGCCTTTCACTTTGGTCTCATATTATTCAGTGATATGTATACTTTTATCACATTTTTTTAAAACCTGATTTTCATTTTCAGGCGGAAAAGCAGCCTTGAGCATCATTGAAGTTTGGGGCTCATTTTGCTACGGTGGCTAATTCATTCTGTAATTACCTCATTGGCATGGAGGCACATAGCCATTCAGGGAGCAACAAAATCTAGGACCATCTACTTTACAGGCCTGAATCACGAATGGCTATTCTCAGGATCAGATCTCAAGGCAGCTAGAGAAGAGAGCTAAGACATGAGGATGTTTTCACCTGCAAGTTTTCAACTGATTTTATTTAGAATAATCCAATCCATTCACTATTGAAAAGAAAGATCAGAGTTCAGCTGTGGCAGAAATATCAACCACAAAATACTCATTCTGTTTCAGAAGATGATGCTATTTCTTCTGCCAGGGACAGAAATGATCCAACTTCGGATCATGAGCAGAAAAATGAGTCAATCCTTAATGGGACTAAGAAATGTGTTTGCCCTCATGGTTCCCTAGTTCTCTGGTTTCTCAGGAACGTCAGCTGGGAAAGGATATGTATCTCAAACAAGAGAATCAGGGGGATAGTGGACTGAGCCAGTCAATAACCATAATAATGATGAACTAAATACCTGTTTCATACCAGATGCTGGGTACCAGGGGGACAGGATGACAAAATAGGGCCCTGCTTCCCAGTCCAGTGGGAGTGACAAATGAGTCACTGTGATACATGAGTAAGAGAGCATCATGCAAGGAGTTGCTGCACACAAAGCAGGGGGTGATAACTCTGTCTGAGGTTCTAGAGGGGTTTACAGAGGAGGTGACCTTTGACCTATACTTTGGAAGATGCTGAGTAGAGCAGAAGATTCCAGAAATTTGGAGTTGTTTTTTTTACTTATTGGTTTTATTATTGAATATTAAAGTACTGAATATTCACTTAGGATATATGGAATGTACTGAAAAGTTATAAAGAAGTCAAAAAAACAAAGACAAAAAATGACCTATAACGCCAATATCTAGAGGCAATACTGCAGCAGTAATTATTTTGCCTTAATCCCTTGTTTTCTTTTTCTATGCATTTTAATATAAAATTGTGTTTATACTATATTTGTAACTATATATTGTTTATTCCCAAAACATATTCTATCATTAAAAAACTTGGTTGGGGGAAGGGGGCTGTCACTTTGTGATGGGTGAAAAGTATAACTATTGCATTGTTCTGTACACCTGAAATTAATAAAATAAAATAAACACTTGGTAAACTAACATTTGATAGCTTCTTAAAATCTCACCAGATTTATCATAATATTTGTAAGCATTAATATATTATGGATTTTGTGCTCCAAGTTTTTGTTCATATATAGGATGTCTGTGTATGTAAATGTTTATTGTATTTTTGAAGTAGAAATCCTGAGTTAAAGTGTATGAGCATTATTAACGCTCTTTATAGATAAGTAGCCAGGTTACTTTCTAGAAATGTTGCAACAATTTAAATTACCACTGGCGGGCCGGCCAAGTGGCACAATGGTTAAGAACTGGCTTGGGACGCCAGAGGGCCCCGGTTCGGATCCCACATATGAGGGCCAGTGACACTTCTGCCTCACCCGGGAAGAGCACGATGATGGTGCCAACTTGGGCCAGTGAAGCAGCGTCCTCCACAACTAGACTGAAGAACAACAACAAAAAAAATCCAGCAACTTGTCTACCTGTTTGTTCCCTTTCCCCAATTCCCCAACGCTGTTCCCCTTTCCCCAATTCCTCAATAAAATCTTTAAAAAAAAAAAAGAAAGTTAAAAGACAACACAAGGAGTGGAAAAATATATTTGTAAATCATATATATGATAAGAGAATTATATTTTGAATATATAAAGAAGTCTTACAATTCAGCAATAAAATAAAAATGGTGTAAGAACCCACATCTTGGTTTCTAATGTAGTAATAGTATTAATAAAAGGAACTGGACTCCTTGAAGAAATGGTTGATTCTAAGGCTGATATAAGAAATATAGAAGATGAGCCTGGGGCAACTTACAGTGCCAAAATGTAAGGAAGTGCGCGCGCGCGCGCGCGCGCGCGCACACACACACACAACAAACACACACACACACACAATGATAGAGATATATCAAAGGGACTCAGGGGCCAATTGAAAGAGCCCCTAATGGCCTAAGTTGGAATAATTTGCACAACAAGTCAAAGTAGTATTGGATTATAAATCAAAGTATAAAATAATCATGAGTCCATAAGAACATAAGTAAATTAAAGAAACAAAGAAAGAAAGAAAGAAAGAAAGAGGCAAATCTTGCATGCAGAAGAATTCCAAATAATTTATGTTGATAGTCTGCCTTCAAGAGGTGGCATGTAAATCCTTACTTCTTAAAAGTGAGCTGTGCAAAGTGACT